CCTACCTGTTGGCTTTTAGCATGCACTTATTTAGCTGCTGTCGCATCAGTTGACATGCCATCTCCTTTTCCCGCTTTCTTTTTCTATTTTTAGCCCTACAGCATTTTGTTTTATCCATCTTTTTCGACGACAACTCACTACTCGTAGGCTACCTGCTCGCTCAGCGCTCACGGCGCCCCCGCCCGCTCGCGATATCACCCCCAATATCAATTAAAAAACGCACAACAGCAGCTACATATAGAAAATACAATATATATATATATTTGTTTTTTAATGAATTTTGTATTTTTATTTTTTACCATCGCTTTGGCGCCCCCCATGGTGCTGCGCCCCTATGCGCCGCATATAGCGCATACCAACTTTTTGCGCCACTGCGTATGTAAATAAACTCTCTGACAGTGTGATATGGGTTGTGATGTCATTTTTATTAAAAATATATATATATATAAACGCGTCTGTATTAAAGAAAAAAATATCGATAAACACGTATTTGGAATGTAATTAATTAACAAGTACATTGGGTGTCTTGTTCATTATATTTATTTTCATATAAAAGCAACAGAACTTAAATTACATCCAGTTTATTAGCAACACTGCACGGGCTTGATCCGCCTTTGATCTCACAGGTGTCAGATCCACTGCGAGAAGAGAGATCTGTCCGTCTTGCCTGCACTTTTTCACTCCTCCCCTCACTGCAGCCGCCTACTCTCGACTACATTTCAGGTGAGGCAAGGCGCATCTCAAACAAGCTAATTTTTAGGCTGCTCTACATCAGCTGCCCAACAGCGCTCGTAAATGTCAAAATGATCGAGATGACCAATCAAATCAAAGAAGGTGGGTCTTACAACAAGAGTTCGTGGACAGATCCAAGTAGATGTAGGCTAAAGGTGTGTTTGACTTCATGCAGCTCTGCGCAAACCGATCCATTAACCGATCGGCGGCTGACTTGAAGCAGTGCATGCCGGTTAGAAATTTTGTCCGACTTGATGCAGCGCCGACGTCACATGACTGTGACGTATGCCATCAAAGTACCGCGAGAGCGATTCGAGAGTAGCCGGAGAACTCAGCCAGCGCAGCTTCTCTCTCTTTTTTTTTTTTTAGATATAACAACAACATTTCAGTCTTTCCAGTTCACATTCATTATAATAATAACAATACAATACATTAAAGGTTAAAAAAAATAAATAAATCAAGTTACCAATAAGAAAAATAGACTTGTGACAGATTTGTATCCCATGACAAAAATAGTTCTAGTGACATATTATCCATTAAAAATTTCTACAGCGCAGCTTCTCAAGAGCAGGGCTGCGTTCAGCCCCGACAAAACGTTGCACAGCGTTTTTTAAACAGAAACGGTGATGCGTTGAACGCACTGTTCTGATGACTCAAGAGTTGCAACTATGGCAGCTGAGAAAGGCCATTCTTTGTGTTCTTTGTGAAGGATTTTCGGAGCCTGATGAAGTCGGTATAAATATGTTTGTTTAATACTACAAAATATGCCCGATGTTACAGTTACTGCACTTGCCGCCCAGAACACAAGAGAACATCCCAATCGAGTGAAGGGATTTGTGGAAACTAAAATGGAATCAAACATCTAATTCAGAGTAAAACACATCTATTTAGCCTCACGTACTGACTTTATTTGTAGTTCATACTGTTTTAATACCCTGTATGTTCTTTCTAATTTTTAGGAAAAGCACTTAATTGCCATTGTTTATTTCTATACCAAATGTCATACACTTGCAATGAAGCTAAAAATATAAATAACTACATCATTATGTTGATATCCTATATTTTTACAATAAAACTTACGACAAACATGTCTTCTAATATCCTCAGTTGTTGCGTATACCGAGCTGCATCGAACACATTTGTAAATTACTTTCCTTGAACCCATTGTGCCCGTTCACTTTAATACCGCGTGCTTTATGTTGCTGCTGATTGGACTGCAGTTCTGACACACCCACCAAACAAGAGAAAACCGTAGACAGTATAAGAAGTGGACAGAGCCATCTCATTGGAACTCAGTTGAGACAGTTGAAGCCCATTTTTAGCGATTTTTGAGCACTTCCGTTCCTGACGCGCAGACTCAAACCGACTCAAACTAAGCTTGATGACGTGAGCAACCTGTCTGACAGACGTTAATCTTCTAGTAGCTGTGCGTGAAAATTGCCAACGTTAATCTTGCAGAGACGGGGAACTTGAGCAAAGAGTTCTTTGGCGTGAGTGAGCAGAAGTAAGTATTCCGTTGCTTTTATGGACTCATTATCTATGGGCTTCTCCCTTGACGGGACGTCCCCCCGATTGCCTGCGAGCTTCTCCTCCTGTCTGCAAGGTAATTTCAGTACAGCGCGACAGAGAGTCGAGTGGTCATGACGCAATCGTTAGCCTATTTTTACTAAATCTGTTTCTACGGGGCCATAATGTAACATAGAAGGTAATGGAGCCCTTTATACATTGTCGTGTTTCTTTAGAAATAAATAATGGACAAATGGAGTCTTTAAACGCCTCAGATGTAAAGTTATTCGCTGTCAAAGTGACGCCAAAATGAATGGGAGTCAATGGAAATGCTAACGCAAGTGAAGTTCTGCTACAACATGGCGGCACCCGGCCGGCTTCAACTTCCGGTCGATGGATTACCCCCTTGGAGAAAACGCATCTCAAACCCCGTTGCACACCGGTGCATGCCGTTTCCAGGAAACATGACGTTCAACCCGGAAACCGTAGCGCACCGTTTTGAACTTGAACGTGCCTGACGTGCCCCAGCTGCACAAGCTCTGGGCTGCGTTCAGCGCCGACAAAACGTTGCAGAACGTTTTTTAAACAGAAACGGTGATGCGTTGAACACACTGTTGTGATGACGCAAGAGTTGCAACTACGGCAACTGAGAAGGCTTTTTGTGTTCTTTGTGAAGAATTTTCGGAGCCTGATTAAGTCGGTATAAATATGTTTAATACTACAACATATGCCCGATGTTACGTTACTGCACTTGCCGCCCAGAACACAAGAGAACATCCCAATCCAGTGAAGGGATTTGTGGAAACTGATGGAAACTTATTAATACCCTGTATTTTCTTTCTCATTTTTAGGAAAAGCACTTTACATGCATTGTTTATTTCTATAGCCTACCAAATGTCACACACTTGCAATGAAGCTAAAAATATAAACAACTACATCATTATGTTGATATCCTATATTTTTACAATAATACTTATGACAAACATGTCTTCTGATATCCTCAGTTGTTGCGTATCGAACACATTTGTAAATTACTTCCATTGTGCGAGTTCTCTTTAATACCGTGTGCTTTATATACATGTTGCTGCTGATTGGACTGCAGTTCTGACACACCCACCAAACAAGAGAAAACGCATCTCAAACCCCGTTGCACACCGGTGCACGCCGTTTCCAGGAAACATGACGTTCAACCCGGAAACCGTAGCAAAACGTTGCGCACCGTTAGGCTTGTTCGACTTCATGCAGCTCTGCGCAGACCGATCGGCGGCAGACTTGAAGCAGTGCATGCGGGTTAGAAATTTTGTCCGACTTGATACAGCGCCGACGCCACGTGACTGTGACGTATGCCATCAAAGTACCGCGAGAGCGATTCGAGAGTAGCCGGAGAACTCAGCCAGCGCAGCTTCTGAAGAGCGGCTGCTCTGGGCTGCACGAGCTCTGATGACGACACAGCTGTTCCACGATTGACCGGATTCACCGCATGACAACGATCACGTGCGTTTCGTGTTTATTCGGTTTATTCTCACACCTTTAGTTCCACTAAAGCTCACAAATCAGTTTTTTTTATAACAGTAAACACTCTTTTCATGTAGTCGCGATGTATTGTGTTATGTTTATCAAAATAAAACTGATTAAAAAACGTTGGTTCCACTTCATTGATAGTAGCTGTAGGCTTATGTTGAACTTTATTCTTGTTCAAACAAACGCTGTATGAAGCAGTACATAAAGTATTAAATGAAAATGTCTCTGAAACATCTGTGTATTTGGCAAATATTGCATTTATTTCACTTCAGCTGTGCTAGAGTATTCAAACACCACGTGAGCGGTCACTACAGGAACCAGAAAGTGTCCGACTTCACGTCTCCATTTGCAGCTCCTCCCCGCCTGCACGCGGCTACTCTCGCCGATCAGTTACATCCAGCTGCAGCCGATGTCGAACACACCTGTTGTGATCTTGAATATGCCCCTGATGACGTCACAACTGTTCCACGATTCGCCGGATTCACCGCATGACAACGATCACGTGCGTTTCGTGTTTATTCCATAAGGTGTGTTCGACATCGGCTGCGGCTGGATGTAACTGATCGGCGAGAGTAGCCGCGTGCAGGCGGGGAGGAGCTGCAAACGGAGACGTGAAGTCGGACACTTTCTGGTTCCCGTAGTGACCGCTCACGTGGTGTTTGTATACTTTAGCACAGCTGAAGTGAAATAAATGCAATATTTGCCAAATACACAGATGTTTCAGAGACATTTTCATTCAATATTTTATGTACTGCTTCATACAGCGTTTGTTTGAACAAGAATAAAGTTCAACATAAGCCTACAGCTACTATCAATGAAGTGGAATCAACGTTTTTTAATCAGCTTTAGTTTGATAAACATAACACAATACATAGCGACTACATGAAAAGAGTGTTTACTGTTAAAAAAAACTGATTTGTGAGCTTTAGTGGAACTAAAGGTGTGTGAGAATAAACCGAATACAACTTTGAGCTTATTTTTCTCAAGATATGTCCTCTAACATCATAAAAATGCCACAAGAACATGTTAACACCTAGAAAAACATTATTTTCATCGGAGTGGGTCTTTAAGACTACTGTTTACTTCATTAATACAATTAGACTTAGAACTTATTTTACCATTCTTGTGTATTTATTCAATTAAATCCCTAATCCTTTAATTATCCAATCCCCCTCCCAAGCACAAAAGTGAAACTCCGCCTATGTCTCCACCCAGAATTTGGACTAATAAATAGGGCCTTAATGCAATCATCAGTACTAAACTGCTGTCTGCAGTCTCTGGAAAGAGCTGCTGCTTCAGATTTTAATATCTTGTGGAGGGTGTGATCTCTCCAGAAACTGAAAACACCAGCTCCTCTTTTTCAGGATTTGAAGATGTGTTGGTTTCTGCTTTTCTTAGAATGGCTTGTGGACTGGGGTCGTGGCACGTTCTGGTATCTGTTTGGCAGGAGAAGTGGGCTGTGCAAGGGGACTATCAGTCCTCCTGGTCCACTAGTCGTAGAGCAGAAGAAAAAGGACAGAGTGCTCCGGAAAGGTATGTAAACTTTAGAGGTGTTGCATGCTAGTGAAACAAGCTGACTGCAAATGGCAGGTGTCTATTGTTAACTAACGTTACTTCTTGACCTGCAGAATTTGATGAATTTGAAGTGCCCAGAAACTTGGACGTCATCGTGATTGGCAGTGGTATTGGTGGTTTGACTGCAGCAGCAACTTTAGCCAAACTAGGAAAGAAAGTCCTGGTGTTGGAGCAAGACAAGCAGGCAGGAGGCTTGTGCAAGACCTTCACTGAGAAAGGCTTTGAGTTTGACTGTGGTAAGAACCTCAATGATGTTCATGGAATTCCATAGGTTATCAAATGCTGAATACCTCAACTTCTATAACTTGCACAATGTGCATTTTGTCAAAGGCTTCCATTATCTTGGACAACTTCATGAGAACTGCTTCTTGAAAATTGCATTGGATCTGATCACTGATGGCCAGGTGCATTTTGCTGAGCAAGGTTCCCATGTGGACACTGTTGTTATTGGTAAAGGAACTCAATATAAAGAATACACCATTTACAACGGCAAGAAGCAGATGGAGTCTCATCTTAAGAAGCAGTTTCCCAATGATACTAAAGCAGTAGAGGAGTTCTTTAAAATCATGAAGGTATTTGGTTGATGGCTCTACAGCTTATTTATCAGGCATTATGGAGTGATTTGGTGTCACAAGTTGTCTTCCTTATAGATCTGTTCAAAGAAGATCCATCTGCTGTGTATGCTGAAGATGGTCCCTCTCTGGTTTGCTCGCTTCATATTGTGGAGTGGAATCGCTGACTTGATCTCCCCAATTTTCAGATACTCCCGCACCAGTACAACAGACATGGTCAAGTCTTTTACAAGCAACTGTGACCTCCTCACTGTGTTTTCTCAAATATTTTATGGTGAGAGAGAAACTTCTGTTTTGTTACCAATGTCTGGCTTTTTAATGCATTTTAGAATTCTATTTTATTTCTCTTGCTATTTCAAGGTGTCCCACCCAAAAACTCCAGCTGCATGATTGATGCCCTTTTCCTGCACCACTCCAAGTGTGGTGTTTTCTATCCTAAGGGTGGTGCTAGTGAGATCCCATACCACATCATTCAGGTTTTGGAGAAGCATGGAGGAAAAGTCCTGGTCAATGCTCCTGTGTCCAGCATTCTAGTTGAAGGAAAACGAAATGCATATGGTGAGTTTTGAACTAGGGTCATGTCATTGCGTTGTCTTACTCTTATGGCAGTAGGTTTCATACTGAAAAAGGCCTCACAGATATGTGGCATCCATTACATATTTGGCTCCAGTAACTTTCAGATGTGTGAAACAAACCACGGCTGTCTATTTGCTTAGGAGTGGCTGTGAAGACGGGAGGTAAAGATGTTGAAATTCAGGCTCCTGTAATCATTTCAAATGCTGGTATGTTCACCACCTTCAAGAAGCTTCTGACTCCAGAGATCCAGGCAAATCCAAGTAAGTGAGAATGTCTTCAATACAGGTGGTCTAATATACTCCTATGAAATGCTTGATTACTGCCAGATTATTTTTTTCCTTCTGCTGCTCACAGAGATCCAGGATTATCTTCATACTCTAAAGCCAGGCAAAGGCTTTTTCCAGGTGTTTGCAGGCTTTAATGCCACTAATGAAGAACTGGGCATCTCCTCAACCAACATGCGACTCTATAAGAGCAACAACATGGATGAAGTGTAGGTCTTCAAGTCAATCTCTTTCTTCAATTTGTTAAAAGCACATCTATACTCTACGTAAACTCAATTGACTTTCCTTAGCATGGAAGAGTACTTTGATTCAGACAAGGAGGACGCACCTGACAGCATCCCCATGATGTACATTTCCTTCCCCTCTGCTAAGGATCCCACCTCATGCACTCGTTTCCCAGGTTAACTTCCCCCTCTGTATTTAGTACACCCAAAACCATCAAAGTAAATTCACCAACTAAAGTGTCATTTGTGGGTGGTTTGTTTTAGGGCAGTCACGCATGGTAATCCATACTATGGTCAATCCAAAGTGGTTTGGACAGTGGAACAATGTCAATGAGACTGAAAGAGGTGAAGATTATGAAAAATACAAGATGAGATTTGCTAATCATCTCTTTGACTGGGCTTGTGTCCACTTCCCCAAGCTGAAAGAGAAGGTACTTTCTTTTTTTTTTCGGCTTCATATTTGTGCTGCTTGATAACTAATAAAGTGACATAAGTAACTTAAGTGATTGTAACTTTTCCTGTCTTCCATAGTTGGCGCTGTTGCATGCAGTCAGTCCCATCAACATGCATGGGCTGGGGGCCACATATGGATCTATGTTGTCTGCAGAACACAATCTGGAGAGATACCAACCTCTGAACATTGCCAAGATCAGGTGCAACACACCCATCAAGAACCTCTACCTGTCAGGTAATATGTATAGCTTTGTTTAAAAGTTACTACTTTAGGCAGCTATTTTGGCCCATTACAGGCGTGTTGGTCTTGATTAATTTCCTATACGAAAATGTGTCCTTTTTTCAGGACAAGATGTTTTTTCTGCTGGTTACTCCGGTGCTCTGCATGGTGGTCTTCTCTGTGCTTCAAGTGTTGTAGATCACTGTCTGTATGTTGACCTTCTGCTCCAACAAAAGAAACTTAAGAGGAAGGTGGTCAAGAAACTAGAGTGAGAATATATTACCCGTGTCTATACAGGAAGAGCTTGCCTACTGGTCATATCATTTTCATACTGTTGTATCTTGTTTTGCTGCTCATTTGTCCCCTCTGCTGCAACTCTTAATAAAGCTGTGACCACTACATAATGTGTGCCTGGTAGATTTGCAGAAAACCAATTTGTGTCCAAAAATAATACTGCTACCTTGTACACTTCACTCAAAGTTCTTAAAATTGGTTGGTAACTGTTCATGGTCTGTCACTAGATGGCAGCATTTTAAACTTTAGTTTGTTGAAAGGAGTTTCGCACCATGGTCCCTGACTTTCATTTGTGAATGGGAGGGGTATTTTCATTAGCAAGTGTACACAACATAGATTGCAGCCTATTACACTGCAGAATGACAATGATTATACACTTTTAGGCTGTTCATCTCTTCATTTTGATTAGGTGTGTTGTGAACTAATCTAGGTTTTTGTATTTCAAGGAACATCCTTTATCATATCTAAAGGGAATGGTGAGATTTTACATGGAAAAAGTGCTTTTTATATTGAATCCTATGGCTTAAAATACTATTTTAAGTTGCAATATTCTGCAGAAAATACTTCTAGTGGATCTTGACTGAGTCTATAATTTGGAGCTCAAGTCTCATATTGAACAGCACTACAAAAATCCAGTCATTCAAGTCTGCCTTGCATAAGAGTATGGCTGTTCATAATTGAAATACTTAGTACTATTTGGTGATCCCTTCTATGGTCAATCCAAAGTGGTTTGGATGGTGGAACATCAATGAGACTGAAAGAGGTGAAGAATATGAAAAATGTGATTTGCTAATTACCTTTTTGACTGGACTTGTGTCCACTTTCCCCAAGCTGAAGGAGAAGGTACATTTGTGACCCTGGACCACAAAACCAGTCACATGGGTCAATTTTTTTTGAAATTTAGATTTATACATCTGAAAGCGGCACAAATAAGTTTTCCATTGATGTATGGTTTGTTAGGATAGGACAATATTTGGTTGAGATAAAACTCTTTGAAAATCTGGAATCTGAGGGTGCACACAAAATCGAAACCTTGAGAAAATCACCTTTAAAGTTGTCCTTTTATGTTCGTGATTGTGCTGCATTCACTCTCAAAAAATGTTTTATATTTGCGTTAGGAAATTTACAAAATATCTTCATGGAACATGATCTTTACTTAAGATCCTAATGATTTTTGGCATAAAAATTGATAATTTTGACCCATACAATGTATTGTTGGCTATTGGAACAAATATACCAGTGCTACTTGTGACTGGTTTTGTGATCCAGGGTCACATTTGTCCTGTGTCATATTTGAGTCGGTCCCATCAACATGCACGGACCGAGTGCCACATATGGATCCATGCTGTCTGCAGAACACAATCTGGAGAGATACCAACCTCTGAACATTGCCAAGATCAGGTGCAACACACCCATCAAGAACCTCTACCTGTCAGGTAATATTCCAAGTTTGAGTGTTTAGACATTAGATGAGCACAGCTATGTAGGAAATTAGCTGTCATTATTCAGAAATATTGAACTGCTTAATGCTGTGATAGACCAGTCAGAATTATTCAGAGAGCCTTACAATAATATTGCATATTTAATAATAAAATAATAATTTGTTACATTTATATAGTGCTTTTCTGGGTACTCAAAGCGCTTTACATGGAAGGGGGAATCTCCTCAACCACCACCAATGTGCAGCATCCACCTGGATGATGTGATGGCAGCCATATTGCGCCAGAACGCCCACTCACCAGCTTACTGGTGGAGAGGAGACCAATGAGAGATGAAGCCAATCAGTATATTGGGGATAATGAGGCCAAGAGGCAAATTTGGCCAGGATGATGGGGTTTCACCCCTACTCTTTTTCTAAGGGCATCCTAGGATTTTTTAATGACCACAGAGTCAGGACCTCGGTTTAACGTTTCATCCGAAGGACAGTGCTCTTTGTCGGTATAGTGTCCCCGTCACTATACTGGGGCGTTAGAACCCACACAGACCACAGGGTGAGCGCCCCCTGCTGGCCTCACTAACACCTGTTCCAGTAGCAACCTGGTTTTCTCAGGAGGTCTCCCATCCAGGTACTGACCAGGCTCAGCCCTGCTTAGCTTCAGTGGGCAACCAGTCTTGGGCTACAGGTGATATGGCTGCTGGCCATCACCCTGTGGTGCGTCACAGGGTGACGTCAATTGTGCATCAAAGGATTTAGACAGTCCCATGTTCTGTGTAATGAATTTATACATGTCTTTTCTTGTGTTTCATCTCGGGCAAGATTTTTTTTTTTCTGCTGGTTACTCTGGTGCTTTACATGTGTTCTTCTCTGTGCGTCAAGTGTTGTACATTGACCTTCTTCTCCTCTAAAATAATTTGAGGAAGGCGGTCAAGACATTAGAGTGAGAAACTGTGAAGTGAGTGGTTACTCAGATTGATGTATCAATTGTTAATCTATTTAATTTCCATTTTAATATTTTTTTTTTAAATAAAGCTGTGAATGATATAGGCCTACCATTCAAAAGGTGTTGTAAAATATTTTCATATTTGAGTTTCTGTTGCCCCCTCCTTTAAAAATGTACAAATTACACATTCTGTGTGCAATAGGCCCTATGTGATCAGCAAATGGACTGTGGGCCTGCAATCTAAGACTGAGATACTAAATCAATGACTTTGGCAGCTGCAAACAAATTATTATAAATGCATTTATTTAAATTAAATGTACTTAAGCCTTCCAAGACAAATGAATTCTCTGCTTTTTCATATCACCAGAACACAAAAGGAAGTTTACGTATGCATAGGCCTGTAAAAATCTTGGAAGGGGGAGATGTTGGGCAAAATAGGGTACAAGAGGGCTAAGGGCACACCCTATGAAAAAATTGCTTTTCACTACTCCCATAGTGTATGATAGCAGAAAAAAATGGAACATTGATGTAGCAACAGATTTTATGTGAAAATAAATTATAAAAGTGGTTTATTTTGTTTAAAAATCTTATAAGTGTATGAGGTGGCGAGGTGGGCCCAGCATGGGGCAAAGGGCAAAGTACACAAATATTTTGGCTAAAATATGTTTTTAATAATGTCTAATCTAATACTTGTTCAAAATAATCACTTTAGCAAAGTTTATACTATTTGGTTTATTTTTATAAATAAAAAAATTATACTGTAATTTAAAATGTTCATTTAAAAAAAAACATGCAGAAACAAAATTATTTTAAAAGTAAAGATTCTGAAAGCATTGAATGAAATCCAATAATAATTTAATAAATCTTTACAGTAGTAACATAAATATATTTTATTAAATTATATGATTAATATATCTTTTATGGTAGTTTCATTATAAATATGGTGATTATCTTTAATGTGGATACCCAATTTGATATGATATTTACCACCTGAATCTAACCATGTCATGTCAACAAATGGAAAAGTCAGCCAGCTATTTATTATCATGTTAATTATTGTGCCTTTTACCCCAACAGCAGGGGTGCATTTTACCCCAAATACCATAATTTTACATATTCTTCCGTTATTGAAAAGAAAAACTGTTGCTTTAATTACCTTGAACAAAACTGAAAATCATTAACAAGACCTGTGTCTCAAAATATAAACAATTTTATTGATTCTTGTTTGCTACATGAATCTACAACATTTTTTTTTTTTTTTAAACATAAACTATTACATCAAATTAGTGCAGAATCAACTTTGCATTGCTGTCCGCGATCGCGTCAAGGATCAGCTAAATTTCCACGGGCATCATCAAAAACATTTTTTAAGAAAAGTGCTGAGCTGCATTTTTGTGCCTAGTGGTTTAAAAGAGAATAATGTCAAATGCTTATTTTACCCTGGTAAGCCTTAAGCCCCATTGTACCCTATATTTTTTGAGTGCTTAGTCAGGTCATAATGTGTTTTGATACCACTGACTCGGTGAATGACTCAACTATTTAGTGACTCATTCAAAAACTCCATCATTATACAAATGCCACAAACTGGTATAATTATGTAACCCAATTATGAAAGCCACATTGCACATGTAATTGTTCTTTGGTGGCCTGAAAACACACACACACACACACACACAACTGCCATTGACTGACTGGACTGCAAGGCTATTCTTTTGCTATCAAATGCAGCCAGTGTATGTTAATGTGCAGCTGTCATATCCCATAAGATCAACCATTTAATTTTAATGTCTGTATTTACGCATATTTGCATGATGAAATGTAATGCACAAAATAAACATATTTGCCCATCTCAGAGTTGATTATCAGTATGTGGAAGAGTTCGCTTCATAAGCATGATACTTGTCTTTTACAATCATCTCAGTCTCATTTTCCAAACAATTCAATGGTGCCAGTTTATCACCACAAACAATCAGGTCTTAAAATATATTTAGTAAATCTAAATCAATTAACTGTTTGATCACCTATACAACTTACAAAAATTGATCTAAGTAAAGATGAGGTGACATTAAAGAGATTGCATTAGAGAAAGCTTACAAGGAGGAAAACATTTCTCCACATCAATACAAAAGGTCAAGCTGATTTATTTACTTGACCAGATTATAAAAATACTTACATTCCCACATTGGTTCACATTTTATGCAAAACCGCAGTTAATCGTCATAAGCAGCTAACTCAAAGCAATCAGTCTGCAATTCTGATTGAATTAAGTGTCTCCACCCACAATTTGGACTAATAAATAGGGCCTTAACTCAGTCACCTGCATTAAACTGCTGTCTGCATTCTCTGGAAAGAGCAGCTGCTTTAGCTTTGGTGAAATCTCCAGCAATCTCTCCTGAAACTAAAAACATCAGCTGCTCTTTTTCAGGATTTGAAGATGTGGTGGATTCTGCTTTTCTTAGAATGGCTTGTGGACTGGGGTCGTGGCACATTCTGGTATCTGTTTGGCAGGAGAAGTGGGCTGTGCAAGGGGACTATCAGTCCTCCTGGTCCAGTTGTAGAGCAGAAGAAAAAGGACAGAGTGCTCCGGAAAGGTATGTAAACTTTAGAGGTGTTGCATGCTAGTGAAACAAGCTGACTGCAAATGGCAGGTGTCTATTGGTA